TAATTATGAGAAATTGCTTGCCTGATTTGCTTTCAATATATCACATAAATCACCACTCCATTCTTCATCACAAATGCAAGGTTTATTAAAGAATAAACTATCTGGATCATAACGAATCCCAACTGATATACCATGTGCTACAAGAAATGAAGAAAAATTATCCATTGTAAGAAAAGAAAAAGTATAACTTAATAATTTATAATTTTTCGATTATTTGAATTTTTCACACAATTAAAAGAAAAAAACGAATAGATAACATAATTTGATAAAATAATATAATACCACAAGCAAAATCCAAACATCGTGTTCCAGTATATGGATGAAAACAAATACAACCATGTCCAACCATAATACCACCATTTCGACAATACGCATTTACATCATCATTTGGTGAATGAATTAATACTTCTCTAAAAAAAAATATGAAATAGTTGTATGATTATAAATTTTTTAACAAAAAATTATTGAAGTTCTTTTTTTTTAACTTACTTGAAAAATTTGACAGATGAAGAAGTAATAGGAATAGGTGTAGTAATAGTAGTAGTAGTAGTTGTTGTTGTTGTTATTGTTGTTGTTGTTGTTGTTATTGTTGTTGTTGTTGTAAAAATAGTAGTAATACCACTTACAGTATTCCATTGTTGTTTCACTTTATCCTCAAAATTTTGATTATTGAAGAAAAATACAAATTTGGACTTCAGAAAAAAAGCAATGCTATTTAAATTTTAAACAATGTAAAGTTAGGTATAATTTTGTTATAGAATGGATGATATCATTTAAAAAGAGAATATAAAATTTTAAAGTTACAATTTTTTAGTCTAAAAGTGCAAAACATTAAGTTTAATATTTTTTAAAGATGAAAAAAGTTGCTTATTACTGTAGTTTGAGCATGACTTCTAGCTTCCACATATAGTAGGATGAAAAACTGCCACTGATGCATAATTACAATTTGAACCTACAAAAAACAATTTCATTTTATCTTTAAAACGATGAATTACATTTTAATTTAGTCGAAATCGATTCATTCGACAACAATTATTGTAATCAATTAGTTTGGAGAATCGTCTGATTCATGACAATTTTACCTTACCGTTGCCACTTTTAAAATAGTATCTAAATCGGGTTTCATTCGTCATTCCAATAACATAAATTTCTCTTTCCTTTGTAATCCACCATCTGTTTTATTGATTATTGATAGAATTTAAAAATGGAAGTATATTACAGTAAATCATACAAAATGTCATTTCTCAAAGCTAATATATAATTTACCGTTAGCTACGAATTTAAATACAAAAAAAGTAAAATTAAATTAATCCGGATTAATACAAAAAAAATGAAATTTAAATTAAAAAAAGTAAAACCCAAATATAATAAAATAAAGATGAAAATGGAAAAAAGAAAAATAACAAAATAAAAATACCATTTAAAAT